GCACCCCACAGGTCATTAGAAAACAGGTCTGTTCTAAAAGCATACCCACACAACTTGCTTGCGGCCAGAATGACATGGGTCGTCAGTATGTCTTTGACCAGCATAAAGTCACCCTCAGAAGCCTTTACTCTCAGCATTTCAAGAACAGAAAGAACTTAATGCATTTGAGCCCGGTTTGCACTTTCTCCACTCTCTGGGGAGCTTTCCCATCTGTGGATCTGTCGTGGTAGTCAGCTCTACCACTCTCCTCGAAACATGGGCCCAACTCCCTTCCACAGGATAGCTGCAGTGATCAGGACTCTCTGGGTTCAAAACCAGATACTCAACTTCCAGTAACTAATGCAAAAAGAGAAGGGGAAGGGTTGACTCGTATCATGGAAACATCAGAGGTAGATCGGAACTGCAGGAGTGGCTGGATCCAGGGACTTGGAGGATGAGGCAGGTAAAATAGCCATTGGGCTTACCAACCAGGACACAAGGGGTCATTCACCTCAGCTCCAGGTGAAAGTCACAGGAAGGTCATAAGCCTGTAGCAGTGGACAGACAGGTGGCTGTCTGTCCACCCTCACGGTGAGCTGTTGGAATGGGTGTCCCTTTAGGAGAAAGGGGTTCTGTTAATGCTGCAAGGGACACTGGCTTAGACAGCCAATGTCCATGCCAACGTTTCTTCATGCCACTTTCACTGGCCCTGTCCACATTCCCCTTGGCCCACTGAGGAGAGCAACCTGCAAGCAAACACTGCCATCTCAGAGAGTAAAGTGCCTGCCCAGTTACAAGAGAGCCGAGACTGGAGGCGTGCCCTGCAGCTGCCTGGTCCAGCGTGAAGGGCACTGCCCCCATGGGGGATCCCACCACGCTCTGAGAAGGGCCAGGACATCATCTCAGCACAGCCTGCTGTGTGAGCATCATGGACAGTGTTACAGTCAGAAAACCAACCTCGTCAGTGAATCATCCCGAAGGTTCATGGGGCCTCTCCCCACGTCCTCTCACCAAGCCCGTGTGTAGCAGGCAGGACTGTGCTCGAGGGTGCTCAGTGGCTGGTTTTCCAGAGCCGACACCCAGGCCTTTCTTCAGAGGTGCCTCTGGGGAGACCCAATCCTCCAACCTTGCAGGTAGCAGCGGAGCACGTTAACCATTTGCATCACTAGGGACTCCGAGAAAAGCAAACCTTCCCCATCGATGAAGAATGAAGCTGCCAAGTCACCTCCCTATAGGGGTGTCCTTCCTACCCTTACAGCTGCTGTTGTAGCTGTAGGAAACCCTCCTGGTAAACGGACACATTAAAGTAGACCACCAATCCTCTTACTTGGTGACGGCGTGCCTGCAGTTTTCCATTTTCTTGGAGCCTTTAAATTTGGGACTCGCCAGGCTTCTTTTCATCTCAGCGGTTGTGCCTAATGCCCACCTGTGGGGACGTTCACAAGCTGCATTGCTCCCTTCTCCAGAAGACAGCTGAGAAGGTGCTGCTGCTGCTGCTGCTGTTGTTAGGTACCATGGAGTCGGTTCCGACCCACAGTGACCCTCTGCACCTCAGAACAAATCACTGCCCGGCCCCGCACCATCCTCACAATGATTCTTATGCCTGAGCCCCTTGATGCAGCCACCAGGGTCAGTCATCTTTTTGTGGGTCTTCCTCTTTTTCACTATCCCTCCACTCTACCAAACATGATGTCCTTCTCCAGGGACTGGTCTCTCCTGACAACAAGTTCAAAGTATGTAAAAGGAAGCCTTGCCATCCTTGCCCTAAGGAGCACTCTGGCCACACTTCTTCCAATACAGATCACTTTGTCCTTTCTTCCAGCAGTCCATGGTACTTTCAATAGTGTTCTCTCCAGCCCCACAATTCAAATGCATCAACTCTTGTATGGTCTTCCTTACTCCGCGCCCAACTTTCACGTGCACATCCACTGAAGATACCATGGCTTGGGTCAGACGCACCTTAGTGCTCAATGCCACATGCTTGTTTCTCAATACTCTAAAGAGGTCATGTGCAGCAGTTACCAAATCACCTGGGGGACAGACGGCCCAGGACTAAAGCACTGCGTCCTGTTGGTGCCATGTTCTGCTGGACAGGATGGAAGCGGAAGGGCGCATTGCTTCTGTGGAAGTCTACCCAGATCCGCAGCCGTAACCCCCTTCTCAGGCCAATAAAGCACCCGCCACACCCCCAGGGAGAGGCATTCCACAAAAGGCCTGTCCAGTTCTCTCCCCAGGGATCATGTTCACGGAGGACAGGGAAAGACCGAGGGACTATTACAGACAGAGGTGATGAAGGAGACGAGTAAGTGGTCACGTGCCTCCTGTGCTTTCCTACATGCAAGGGGGGTCCTGCCCTGGATCCTGGAACACAGACAGCACGTTAGTGGGGTGGATGGCGGGATCTTAATAATGCCTGTCATTTAGTTGAGCGTACAAGGACAGTGCTATTTTATTTTTTTAGTATTAATTAGTGTACATACCAAAGGAGCCGCAGTCTGCCGGCCTGCCTCTAGCTCAATGGTTCCCCGTTCACCTGAATCAGCAACAGCCTCACCTGGGAACACATTAGACATGCGAACCAGCCCCCTCCCACAGTCAGAATCTGCATCGGAACAAGCCCCGAGGCTCTTCACTTACACAGGAAAGTCCCAGAAACCCTGGCTGGAAGGGAAGGGTGGGGTGTGAAGGAATACAAGTTGAATGGCAGGGGGCGGGGCGCTTAACACCATCACTTCACTAGCTTGGAGAGCCTGGTTGTCCGCATCACCCGGAAAAGAAAACAGAAAGAAGACTCTGAAGCACTTTGCGACTATCAAGCCAAAGGCAGAAGTGGGCAGACGGAGCCGCCTCTGCCCCGCAGTGCTGGCCAGGGCACAGTGACCTGGCTGAGGGGGCAGCTGGAAGAAGACAAGGAAGCTGGGCCAGGAGGCATTCGCTGCCAGAAGAGCACCACTCAAACCATAGACCCCAATGGGAAAGTCCCTCGTCCTTCTTTAGGAAGAAGAGCCAGGCGGGTCTGGCTGCTTCCTGGCCCATTTTGTTGTCTAAGAAGGAAGCAGGGGAGGAGGAGGGGGGAGGAGAAGAAGGGAAACAGAGGAGAGGAAGTGAGAGATAAACAGAGGGAGAGGAGGAAGAGGAGATGGAGGAGGGGAGGAGAAGGGAAAAGAGAAGAAGTGAGAGATGAACAGAGGGAGGGGGAGGAGGAGGAGGAGAGGGGAGGAAAAGAAGGGAAAAGGAGAGGAAATGAGAGATGAACAGAGTGAGGAGAGGAAGAAGAGATGGAGGAGGAGGAAGAAGAGGAGGAGGGAAACAGAGGAGAAGGAATGGGGGAAAGGAGGTGAGGTGGAGGGTAGGGAGAAACGGAAACAAGAAGAAAGGAGGGAGAGGAGGGGGTGGGCGGGAGGACGGAGGGAGGAGCTCGCTTGACAGTGCCTCTGGCCTTCTCCCAGACTGGCAGGTTTCACAGCGTGGGAGCAGTAGCATCTAGCCACTTGTCAGTCACAGTCTCAAGTTCAACACGGGACCTCCTCTTCCAGCCCACAGGCCAGGCTCAGACTCAGAGATGCCTTCAAGAGTTAAGAAGAGGGTGCAGTGCAGCCACGATGAAACATACAATTTTCCTCCTCCCGCCCCCACTATCATGATCCCAATTCTACCTTACAGATCCGGCTAGACCAGAGGATGTACACAGGTACAGATAGGAACTGGAAACACAGGGAATCCAGGAAGGATGATCCCTTCAGGACCAGCGGTGAGAGTGGCGATACCGGGAGGGTGGAGGGAAGGTGAGGTAGAAAGGTTGAGCCGATGACAAGGATCTACATGTAACCTCCTCCCTACGGGATGGACAACAGAAAAGTGGGTGAAGGGAGATGTCAGACGGTGTAAGATATGACAAAATAATAATAATTTATAAATTATCAAGGGTTCATGAGGGAGGGGGAGCAGGGAGGGGCAGGGAATGAGGAGCTGATACGGGGGCTCAAGTAGGAAGCAAATGTTTTGAGAATGATGAGGTCAACAAATGTACAGATGTGCTTGACGCACAATGGATGGATGGATGGATTGTGATAAGAGTTGTACGAGCCTCCAATAAAATGATTTTTTTAAAAAGAGTTAAGAAGAAAAAGTATCCTTCCAAGTGGTGCCTTCTGGCAGAGAAGGTCACTGTTTGAAGGAGAAACCATGACATTTATGGGACAGCACAAAGCACGAGCCAAAGGCCAGCCTCCTGGCAAACGCTACAAGACAGAGAAGGTGACCAGAGCCAGGGTGTGGCTGAGACACCACCTGAACGACCTCTGAGCCCTGGAAGGAGAGTCTGGAGAGTCTCTCTCCGCATGGCCTTGGAGCCCCGGAGATGACCAAGCCAAGCCGAAGGCACAGGCCAGTGAGCGGTCAACAAGAGCCCACCTTGTCCCAAGTCACACAGGACAAGAAACACCGGCATGGTCCACATTCATGCTGTTCACGCCAAGGAATCTGCTGGACTCAGCCTGCTTTTTCCACGACTCCCATCTCCCTGACTCATCTCCCGCTACCAGCACCGCCGCCTGCAACAAAGCTGAGTTTCCTCCGAAGTCAAGGCCTTTCAGGCTCAGCTCAGGCCGTCAGAGCAACCCAACGAGCAAACGCAGTCCCTGTGGGCAGCTCTGCAGAAGAAACAATCAAGCCAGTCCCGATTCCACAGCTGCACGGCCAAGAGCTCAGCACTAGATCTCTCTGAGCCTTGGGTTCTATCTGTGCACCAAGAGCCTGGTGACGGGACAGTGAAATGATGTCACCTATTTACAGAGCCCCTCACACAGGACCGGACTCAGTAAACGCCAGCCTCTGCCCCTCTGTTTCTCAAACTGCCCTGCCCCCCCATCCCCCAAACTCCCCTGCCCCCCCTCCCAGGATAGCTGCTCAGGGGGTGGAGGGGGTGTGTGTAGCTGGCTGGCAGCGTGCTAGTATTTTAGATCCCAGAGCAGTAGGAAGCCAACCATTAAACCAGGAGTGAAGAGCAAGTAACCATTACCTTGAACAGAAAGGACATTTACATTTACTTCACTATAAAAGGCACCATAAAATATAATATGCAGCATGCAGCCTCATGATTAATAATAGATCTGGCAAATTATTCTCGCAGGTCCTTGGGTGCATCCAACTGGTCACTAAGAACGATTCCTCCTTTCAGGAAATAAAGGGGTTGTGAATTGTCTCTGGGCGCTGGAAGAACCTGCTGCCTGTGCTACCAGAGCAGCGAACAGGAGGTGAGACGCATGGTCAGGGTTTCCCTGTCCGTGTGAAGGCGGGGAGTGAAGACCAGAAAGGTCCGTGTACAATTAGTGGCGGTGAACGCTGGTGCTTGGTGAGAGGGCTGTGAGCTGCCCAACCTGGGCTCTCGGGGGCCTAGAGACCAGACAGATACAGGTGGTGGAGCCAGCACTTGGAGGATCCGAGAAGCAGAAGCAAATGACTGAGCGGGGGGAGGAACAGGGCTGGCAGGAGGCAATAGGTAGAAGGAAGGAGTCCAGACAAGGATGGTGGAGACTTCTGAGTCGAGCCCTAGTCACCGTCTCCAGAAGGACGAAGGGGCCAGGAAGAATCTCTAGCCAGACCAAGGGCTTACGTCAGAAAGCAACAGGTAGAACAAGGCAGGTGCCGAGGTCAGAGGGAAGGAGGTGGAAATCCAGGAGAAGCAAGGTCAGGAGACTCAGCTGAGGCTCTTGGGTCCCTGGTCTTGGGCTTCTTAACCCTTCAAAGGATAGAGAAAATTGCAAGCAGCAGGAAGTGGCCCCAGAGTGGAAGACTGGCAGGATGGCAGGGGCAAGCAGATCACGTGGACACTGGCTTCTAGCTCCGCCCTCAACGTAGAGTTAAAAACCCCCATCACCCAAAGCCAGGTTGAGCCCAATTCCTCCTCAGTCCCCCCTGGGAAGCCCAAGGGAAGCAGCAACCAGGGGGCTGGAATTAAAAGACAGACCCTGCCCAGGGCCACGAAGCGGTTTCTGGATGCAGTAAGTGGTTGGCGTTGGGAGGGAGGCCAGCGAGTTAGGATGCACTAGTCCTGCAACCCTCCAGGGCTCTTTTATTGAAACCACAGTACAAGAAGTGGAGCCCCCAAGGGATCCCAGGGAGCTTGTGGCTGCAGCGGAGACTGTCTGAAGACGCCGAAGAGCCTTACCAAGGGTGGCGCCTCTAGGGAGTGTGGTGGGACGGAGGAGGAACCTGTTCTCTATCAAGTTCGGAGACCATACTCACCTCCAACAAAACCCAAATGCCCTACCACTGAAGTTCGCTCTTAAGGGGATACACGGCCTGCCCCCAAAGGGTTAACGGAAGTGCGGGAACACTCAACCCAAGGGCACCTACCAGGAGTAGGAAGACGGACTGCTGAGCCTTCTCCCCGTCCCTTTCTCCCGCAGGAGGAGAGATATCTATCCCAGGATGCAGCTGTGCGCCCTGAGAGAAGGGCAGCAGTGCGGGTAGGCGTCCCAAAGGTGGAGGTCCCAGGTGCAACGGAGAGTGGCCTGGGCTCCAATGGGACGATGTAGACATGGCCGCTGAACAGGAGTGAAAGGAGGCCTCTCCCACCACAGGGTCACACCAGAAAGGGACGGGGGACAGCAAGGCTACTCAGCGGGAAGCAGGAAACACCCTGCAAAGCAGGGCCACGAGCCAGCTGGCCAGCTTTAACCCCTGCACGCTCAGCATGAACTCATGGAGGCTGATCTGCCACAGGGTGAAGGCTTCGCTGAAGGAGATCTGGGTCTTTCTGAAGAACGAGCGGGTGTGCTTCCTCTTGTGCCTACAGGAAGCGGGTGAGAGGAGGAGGAAGAAGAGTGAGGGAGTGAGGGGGCGGAAATAAACACTAGCTCAGCACCCCGTGTGAAGTGCGGGAATGTGGCTTTGCCCAGCTGGCCAGCCCCGGTGTCTGTGACTGCTCTGGGTCACGTGGCCATCCTGCCGCCCTAGCCAGGGCCCAGAGGAACTCAGACATCCGGACGGAGCTTGTCAAGTAAGCGTGGCAGGCAAACGCAGTGGTTTGACAGGATCCACAGCTCCAGGGCCGCTCGAAGGAGAACAGGCCAGTGGTTCTCGCCCCACAGACACAGGGCAAAGATGCCAATCTGTCTGAGGGTGAGAATCACCTGGGAAACAGGTGGCGCTAAGAAGCAGAGCTGGGGTGGAAGTCAGCCAAGCCCTCCCTTCCTGGATCCACAAAAGGATATGTCGGAAATGGCCGTGCATGAAGGTGACCTACTCAAAACGTCATTTCCTGAACTCATCCCCAGGGGAGGGATCACTCATGCCCAGCCTTTCAGTGAGCAGTAGATCTGATTTGATAGTGGATGTGTGATCTATGTGGTCAATCCTCCCCTCATCAGATCACTCCCTGAAGGACCCATTCTCTGACTCGGATGAATGGAGCTGGAGGTTGACCAGAGCCAGACTTCCTGCCTCGCTTGATAATGGCCAACCTGAAGATGGTCCCATTATGTGTACTTGTCACACTCTGGTGAAGGGCCTGAAATCCTCACTCCTCCACCCCTGTCTCCCGAGGGAGCAACTTCCCTTCCTCCCCAACATCTGAGTAGCCCAGGTACCCCGGCATGTGAAACACCGCCATAAAGATCTGTGTGCTCCGTTCAAGGTCCCCCTGTGACAGGTCTTTCCCGCCCAAGCCGGAGTCGTGCCTGCAGGGAAGAGAACACTGCCCGGCTCCTGGTCAGTCTCTGCAGAGACAGCAAGGGGCCCCATCCGTTGGTGTGAGGATACACCAGCGCTTCCTGACCCCAAGTCCAGGGGACACTCGGAAGGGTCTGAGACACTCGGAAAGCTCAGCAAACTTTCCTGAGGGTCAGAATCGTCTAGAAGGCTGGGTAGTAGGGTAGGGAGGGGGGCTCCTGGGATCTGCCCCTTTGAACAAGGACAGCTTGCTCTTCAAAACTGCCCCAAGGCACCAGCAAGCTCACTGGAGCCATTTTCTGACCCCCACCACCACCACCACCATTTCTCCTTTAGGGTGAGCCAGGCAGGGAGGGCCCCGTGGCCTGTGGGAGAACGGGGAGCTGGGTGGAGCCCTGAAGCAGGCCGGGGACACACTCACACGGCCAGCGCCCGGATGCAGCAGCGCGACATGGTGAGGAAGGAGCTGGCGCTAGCCCGGGTGCCCAGGGCGGCCTCGATGCCCCGCAGCAGGTCGTTGGTCTTGAAGATGAGCAGCATCTGGCGCGGCACGTGGCTGAGGAGCTGGCTGATCTGGGGAAGGTAGCTAGCCGCATGGTCCCGGATTTCCGATTCCTGAGACAGACAAGAGTGGTCGGGATGGGTGGGGCAGGGGAGTGCTGCAGGCACAGTTGCCTCGGTGCCACTAGAA